GACCAGGGCACGAACCCGTGTCCCCTGCATCGGCAGGCAGACTCTCAACCACTGTGCCACTAGGGAACACTGTCCTCCGAACTTTTAATATGCTAACACGTAAAGGGTTTCTCACAGATGATAAAGTTAATAATAATAGGTAACATTTGAAGAGCATTTATTGTGAGCTAGCTGAATGCTTTACACAGATCATCTACAAATACGGTAATTATCTCCATTATACAGAGAAGAAAACTTGACTTAAAATTAATTTGTCAATTAATGTTGCTAGTTAGTAAATGATTGAAACTTAGGTCTGTCTGATTCTGGAGTTATTTCTTTTAATGCCCAAGCTATAATTTCTGTAAAGGATATACTTATGAAGCATTTCCCAAAGTATTTAGCCATGGAATACGAAGCAAGGAACGCCTAATTAACATTTATTTGAACCAGTATTTTTCTAAAACAGTTTGGGAATGCTGGCTTAGTCTGCACCAAAATTTAAAAAAAAAAAATTATGTGATTAAAATAGATATAATACTTAACTGCATGCACAGTAATTACAAATCTAAAACATTGACAGGAAAACAGTGCACTGAGTATCTTAACTGTATTTGGATAGTAAGAGTCAAGACTTTTTTTTCTTTTTCCTACACTAAATTTAAAAAAATAAACATTTTTTATGATAAAAAGCTTTTGAAAAGTATTATCTAAATTATTCTGCCCTTTCACATTAATTCTGTTCTTCTCAACATAATCACCATATTTCATCTAACCTAAAAAGCTACTACTGTAAGATGCCACTAATCATAAAATCAGGTGAAGCTGGTTTTAGCAAATACATGAATTTAGACTACATCTGAATCATTAAAACACACACATAAAAGATTACTTCAGAGATTCCTATCATTTCTAAATGACTTCCCTTTACCTCAGCAATCTCTACAGTAGTCTTCCCCACTGATTTTGAAATTGCCAGTACTTTTTAAAAATTAACAAATCCCCTACCCTGGGCTCTCAATGTTAGGAACCAAACATAAACTATTGCTTTGAAATGGAAGTTTTTAGTGCAGACTTTCATTTTTACTTTATAGTATAGAGAACTCCACAAAAATTTGGAAGTGATTCTCTTTCTCAAAATATCTGATTTCACTGTTTCAGAATTGCAATTAGGTAAAAATTTATATTCTCCTTAGACACTCTAAGTATTGTATTTCATCATATATAAGATAACATCAATTGTAAAATGACTCCAATCATAAGATGCTGCATTATTTTGGGTACCATTAAGGAAAAAAAACATGGCTGATTTAACTGACCTAATGTTCTCTTACACTTAGTCACATCCTGTATTATGTATTGAAATACCTGTTTTGAATTTAGCCCTATTTTTATCTTATATCACTCTTGTGTTTCCATGAATTTCTTTTTTGAAAACTGAAGTATAGTTAATTTACAATGTTGTGTTAGTTTCAAGTATATAGCAAAGTGATTGTTTTATATATATATTTCCTTTTTCAGAGTCTTTACAGTACAGGTTATTACAAGACACTGAGTATATTTCCCTGTGCTATATAGTAGGTCCTTATTTACATATTTTATATATAGTAGTGTATATATGTTAATCCCAACTTCTAATTTATTTCTTCCATGTATTTTTGCAAACACAGTAACTTTTTATTTAAGTGCTAAATGATCTTTTAAAGGCTACTTAAGAGATTAAACTCAACAACTATGTACCAACAGTACACACAACTCAACTGAACTAGTGACAATATTATCAGTTATAACCAAGTTTGCATAAGTTGGGCAGTGATGATGTCACAGCTGCTATTTAGTCTATAATGAGTTTAAAACTTTGAATACCCCACTATTTCAGAGCTATAAATATGAGAAAAATATGCCTCTCAGAACTAGTGAACTACAGTAATTTTAATCACTTTTTTCTCTCTTCTACCACCACCCCTATTCTTACCTTCCAAACTTCTTTCCTCTATTGGTTTCATAATCTAATCGCCAAGCTACCCCACTCTAAGAACACCTTTATCACAGTTCTACACAATGCAGCTCTAGGTTAAAACTCCTGCTAGGATTTAAAACATGTCAAAAGTCAGAATTTTTAAACAGGTAAATTAAAAAATTAAATATTTTGAGAAATATTTGTCAAAACACAGAAAGATCTAAAACTATGCTTTTTGTGAAAGTTCATTTTATTCTTTTTGTTTTTCTTCTAAGCATGTGATCAGGGAATGAATTCAAATACCAGCTCTGCCACTCATTAGCTGTGTGACTCTTTTTTTTTATTATTGAAGTATAGTTAATTTACAATGTTGTGTTAGTTTCAGGTGTGCAGCAAAGTAATTCAGATATACATACTTTTCCAGATTCTTTTCCCATACAGGTTGTTACAAAATATTGAGTATAGTTCCCCATGCTATACAGTAGGTCCTTGTTATTTATCTGTTTTATATATAGTAGTGTGTATAAGTTACTCCCAAATTCCTAATTTACCCCCCCACACACTTTTCCTTTGGTAACCATAAGTTTGTTTTCTATGTCTGTGAGTCTGTTTCTGTTTTGTAAATAAGTTCATTTTTAGATTCCACATATAAGTGATATCATATACTTGTCTTTCTCTTTCTGACTTCATTTCATATGATAATCTCTAGGTCCATCCATGTTACTACAAATGGCATGATTTCATTCTTCTTATGGCTGAGTAATATTCCAGTGTGTGTGTGTGTGTGTGTGTGTGTGTGTGTGTGTGTGTGTGTGTGTATACACCACATTTTCTCTATCCATTCATCTCTTGATGGATATTTAAGTTGCTTCCATGTCTTGCCTATTGTAAATAACGCTTCAGTGAACACTGGGGTGCATGTATCTTTTTGAATTATAGCTTTCTCCACATATATTCCCAGAAGTAGGACGGCAGGATCATACTGTAGCTCTATTTTTAGCTTTTTAAGGAACCTCCATACTGTTCTCCATAGCGGCTGTACCAATTTACATTCCCACCAACAGTGCAAGAGGGTTCCCTTTCCTCCACACCCTCTCCAGCATTTATTATTTGTAGACTTTTTGATGATGGCCATTCAGACTAGTGTGAGGTGATACCTCACTGTAGTTTTGATTTGCATTTCTCTAATAATGAGTGACACTGAGCATCTTTTCATGTGTCTCTCAGCCATCTGCATGTCTTCTTTGGAGAAATGTCTATTTAGATTTCTGCCCATTTTTTGATTGCGTTGCAAATGAACACTACAATAGTCCAGTTAACATCCTTTACCATACATAGGTACAATTTTTTTCTTGTGATGAGAACCATCAAGATCCAGTCTCCTAGCTATTTTCTAATATGCAAAACAGTATTATTAACTATAGTCACCATGCTGTACATTACATCCCCATGACTTATTCATTTTATAACTGGAAATTTGTATTTATGCTTGATTGTTTTTCTCTACTCACCAGAGAGCCTGCTTCCCGTTTACTAATGAGGACACTGGGGATCCTGGAGGGCTAAAGGGATGGCTATGAGGGTATGGCTAAGAGAAGACAGTCCATGTGTTTCAGATACTATGGCCATTAACACAGAAAACCTTTTTGTCCAGTGACATATGCATAAAATTTTAAAAGGGGTATGTCTAGGTCTCCCATGGCCCACTTACCAAACAAGGTCATCTTTTAGCGGGCTCAGATTTTCCCCAATAGGATTTAACCAAACCTTTCCACTCACAGATGTACTCACCACTATCTTTCTTCCATTGCTTAACCAAGAACACAGTTAATAACAGTAGCCACTATTTTAATGGGCCTGGCACATTACATACATTGTCATTTAATCTTTACAACCTTGTGAGACAATAAGGTTATAGATAAACTCAGAGAAATTACATGACTTGTCTAAATCCATTCAAATATTAAATGGTAAAGCCATGATTTTAACTTGTGTTTGTTACTCCTAACCTGACACTACAAGTCATTTTAAAAGCGTTTCCAAAACCTAATTAAAGAAAATTAACTGATCATCCATTAAAATTCTTGCATACCTAAATTAAGAGCACTAAGAATCTGACTGGTCATTTCTTACCACCCCTAGTCAAGCCACTATCATATCTCCTCTGGATTTATGTAAAAGCCTCCGAACTGGTGTTTCTTCCACCTTATTCCCTCCAGTCTATTCTTGAGAGCAGCCAGAAAGATTCTTTTAAAAAAGAAGTCAGTATTCCACTGCTCAAAACCCTCCAATGGGTTAGACGTCCTCAAGATCCTTCATGACCTGTTCCGGATCTCTGATTTTTTCTCCAGCTTTAGTTGCTTCACTCAACTCTGACCTACAGGCTTCCTTGCTGTTCAGGAGAGTTCCTGCCTGATGGCTTTTGCAATGTCTGGTCCGTCTGCCTGACTGCACCTCGCCAAAACAGCCTAACGATTAACTCTCTTGCTTCTGTCCGCTCTTTACTGAAGAGTGATCTTTTCAGTGAGACCTTCCCTGGCCATACTAAAATTTCAACCTACGTCCCCCTTCCCGGCTTTACTATTTTTGTTTTCAGCAGTCATTACGACCTAAGATACGGTATGTTTTTCTTAACTTTGTTCAGTATGTATATTCAATAAAATGTGAACTACAGGGAGCCAAGAATTTTTGTCTGTTTTGTTCATTGCTTTTTACCGATGCCTAAAACAGTGTTTGGAACATGGTGGGCGCTGAATAACTACTTGCGGAATAAACGAATTCCTGTCACCGCCTCCTGGTTCTCTCACACACGCAAAAATAAACATGTTTGTGCATATATCTTTTCCAGTAACATCCTTCCCCTCGGCCCCGCATCCCATTTCTCAAACTTAGCTCCTTCACAAGGTCCCAAGCTGTTCCCTACTTCCTCATGCCAAGATTGGCGTTGCTGTGGGCTGACTTCCCCGCCGTTCAGGTCCTATTATCCGAAGACCACTAAGGGACAGGGGACTCTTATGTTCGCAATCCCCGTACCCCGGGACCCTCTGCGGACGACACTCACATGTATCGGTGAACAGGCAGAACCTCGGCCGTCTCGGCCCGGAGCCGGTAAGGACAGCCTCCCGCTCACGAAGGCAGCGAGAAAGGACCCAATGAGGTGTCCTCACTAAACGCCTGAGCGGTCCACAGATTCTTCTTCAAATTCAGTGGCCCCCTTCCCGTGCGCAGCCACACCATACTCCCCGTCGTCCATTCCTTCAGCCAATAACGCCAACCATTCCGCACCTCTTCCTCGGTCTTTATATTTTGTCGCCAGGTTGGGCGAGGGGCAAGACGCCGAATGTCGGGGTCTTTCTTTAGAGTTCCGTCGCGGACGCTGTGAGGTCAGAGGAAAAGGCCGAGCTGAGGGTGGTGTTGGGGAGAGCTGGGAGCTGTCAGCGGCAAGCGCGGGAGTCGTTCTCCTGGCCGGAGGCGAGGCAGGCAACTCCGGCTGACTTAAGCTGGCGGGCAAAGGGCAATCTCTGAGCTCCCGGCGCTCAAGGAGCAGCCACTTTTGTAGAAGCACCTGAAATGCAGGGTCTGGTGCACTAAGCAATAGCGGCAACACCAGCTCCATCGACAGCTCTGGGGCCCTGTGTAGGAGCTCCATCCCCTTGTCTTTGTGTCCGCCTGCGTCCCCAGACCCAGAGGCAGGTATTTGGGTTTCCCAGTTTTCTGTGTCGTAGTGGTCGGGGCTGGTGGGAGGTAGAGGAAGGTCAGGTGCAGCGAGCGGCCTCGCATTTTCTCCGTGAGTGATAGAGACCACCGGTGCAGCTGCTGGCTGCTGAGTACCGTCTCCATCCCTACCTACAGCCCGCCTTCCCCCTACACACCTGAGTCCTTTGAGGACTGCAGGCGGCTCTTCGAAAGGATCTTCCACCTGACTGTTTCAGAGAATTTGGAATCGGCTCTCCCGTTGCTCAACATAGATTAGAACTCTTGCTTTGGTTTGTTTCTTGTTTTCAAAGGTTTAGTAAGTTGTCGAGATGTGGCATTCCCTTGTGCAGTGGAAAAATGTGAACGAGTGGAAGTTTCTTTAGAATTGTTAGTGGTTGCTTTTCAAGGCCTCTTATCCCTGTTTTTATTTGGGACAGAAAGACAACTTTTTGCGGGAAAGTACATAAAATAAATGAAACCCACTGAAGAAATGTGTAAACTGTTTTAGTCGTAACGAAATATGCATCTTTTGCCCTATTTTTTTTTACCTTTTTCCCTTTGTGATGCATTTCCACTTAAAGTTCTTTGAGGGCGGATATTGTGTCCTGTTCACTGGTGGCCCTGAAGCTGGAAAAACACCTGACTTAAAATAGGAGCTTCAGGATATTTGTTGAATGAATGAATTTTCAAACCCAACTCCTTATGTTGTTGTTTTTTCCTCAACTAATCTCTCACCTCAGCTGTTTTTTCCACTGGCTTTCTTCCACTCACCAAGCGGAAGAAAATCTATGTGTGTGTATTTGTTATGTGTGAACCTTTTTATGTGCACCCATCTAAGAGGTAGTTGAAGCAGAACACTGATGAAATGTTTAACGCCAACTACTGTTTTATCGTTTTGAATTATTTGCATTTTCTTTATTTGGTTATTTGATTTTTAGTTGTCTAACTAAAAGGGCTGCCTAATAAAATGCAACAGCTCAGGCTTTTCCTTCCTACCCTCAGTTCTGTTACTTCAGAGATAGTCATTTTTAACCTTTTCTAATTTTAGGTCTGTATGTTGAACAAGTAAAACTACTTCTTTTTATTTTAATTGACTCCTTAAGATAGGCCACACCATCCACAACCTCTCTACTACAATTTTTTTTGTTTTTTAGTAATTTTTATTGAAATACAGTTGATTTACAATGTTGTGGGGGTTTTTTTGTTTGTTTTTTGGCTGCATTGGGGTTTCGTTGCTGTGCGTGGGCTTCTCATTGCCGTGGCTTCTCTTGTTGGGGAGCACGGGCTCTAGGTGCGTGGGCTCTAGAACGCAGGCTGAGTAGTTGTGGCGCACAGGCTTAGTTGCTCCGTGGCATGTGGGCTCTTCCCGAACCAGTGCTCCAACCTGTGTCCCCTGCACTGGCAGGTGGATTCTTAACCACTGTGCCACCAGGGAAGCCCTCTTCTACAAATTTTTGAATCGTTATCACAATTTTTAGTTTTCATGTTGGTTAATTTTAGAATTCTAAGTAATATATTTAAACTTAATTTTTTCCATATGAACTTTTGAAAATACTTATATTTGGCTCCTTATTTTGTAAAATGAGGAAAGTAGAGACTCTACCTTCCTTTACCGCCACAGAAACTGCATCCATTCCCACCTTCCCTTAGGTGGACCTTTACTTGTAGGTTGTCATGGTTATTAATAGTTACAGTATATTTCTTAACTGCAGTTGTTTTTTGCTTTGTTTATGTGTTTAAAAACTAGTAAAATGTTACAATATTATGGCTTTGTAAATAATCTTCAGTGCTGAGCCAAGACGTATGCTATTATACATTTCTTTCCCAATGTTTTAATTTCATGATCCTTGTACCACTCTAACAAGAAGATTTGTAATATTAACGTCCAATTGATTACTCTTTCTTCCTCTCCAATAACAAAAATTATGCCATATTTAAACGTGCTTAATTTTTTGGATTATATACTTCTTATGTAGCTTTTGGCTCTCCTCACTTTCACAGAGTACTTTGCACTTTCTTTGAGGGAAAAGATGCATGTGCTTTATTCACCACATCCTCTCATTCTTTGTATGAGAACCTCCCTTACTCTGCTTGAAGACATTCCCCTTGGAGCCCAATTACCTTCTGTTCAATTGGAACAGATTACTTTCTAGTCCTTTGGTGCAGCTTCTATACTGGATTATATTCATTGAATTCTTGAGTAAGATACATTGTTTCTTAACTCCATGTCTTTTATTATTTGGTTTTCTCCTCTGTTTTGTTAGAATACATCCTAAAGAAACTTATTCATGAAGGTATGTGGATGGTGATTTTATTTTTTAATGTTTGCATAGTTGTAAATTATTATTTTGCTATTATGAATGATAGTTTGGCTGGGTAAAGAAACAAAATTATGTTTCTTCCAACTTTTCAAGGCTTCATCATCTTCTAACTTCTGTTGTTGCTCATGAGAATGAGTGTCTGATCTTGATTTGTTGAGGCCTGAACTATTTGTTTTCTCTCTGAAATGATTAAAATTTTTAGTTATGCTTGATGCTTTGAAAATTTGTCATGGCATGTCTTGGTCTGAGTTTATTCTCCTTGCAGTTAACTCATTCGATGGAGCTAGGATAAATGTCTCCATTTGGGTCTTTTTTCATTTATTCTCCTTGAAATTAGAAGCCTTTTTAATTTGAAGGTACATATTTCCCTTCAATTGTGGGGAATTTTCTCCCATCTTTCGTAATTTATTCTCCTTTATTTTTCCCTGTTCCCTTTTTTGAAATGCCTATAAGGTGGTTGTTGAATTCTTGGGTTGATTCACTATGTGTGTTACCTTTTCTGTTATGCTTTTTTTTAATCTATTTGCCCATTTGCTTCATGTTCTGAGTAATTGTCTCAATTTTATTTTCTAACACTTCTATCTAGTTTGGTGATCATATATTTAAGTTCCAAGCACTAACTTTTAAAATTATTATTTTCTCATATTCTCTTAATTTTGTTTCATTTTCTTTTTTTAAATGAGGTGAAATTTACATATATTAGAGTACACTGATTTTAAGTGATCAGTTTGAGGAGTTTTGATACATGTGAACAAATGTGACAAACACCACCCTAATCAAGATGTGAAACATTTGGACTACTCCAGAAAGTTCCTGTTTCCCTCTCCAATTCTGTCCCCGCCCCTCAACACACACACCCAGCCAAGGCACTACAATTCTCTTTTTTATCACTATAGTTTAGAACTGTAGTTCTAGAACTACATTTAAATGGAGCCATAGGATATACACTCTTTTATGTGTCTACTGCTTTCATCAACATAATATTTTTGAGATACATCCATATTTTGGCATGGTTGTTCCTTTTTTGTTGCTTTTGAATAGCATTTCATTGGATGAATATGCTACAGCTTGTTTATCAGTTCACTTGTATGATGTTTATATTGCTTCCAGTTTGGGGCTGTTATGAGTAAAACTTCTGTGAACATTCTTGTACAAGTATTTTTATGGACAAATATTTTTTTTTTTTTTTTTTAAATGGAACTTGTACTCTGTGTGTTTTTTTATTTATTTATTTATTTTTGGCTGTGTTGGGTCTTCGTTTCTGTGCGAGGGCTTTCTCTAGTTGTGGCAAGTGGGGGCCACTCTTCATCGCGGTGCGCGGGACTCTCACTGTCACGGCCTCTCCCGCTGCAGAGCACAGGCTCCAGACGCGCAGGCTCAGTAGTTGTGGCTCACGGGCCCAGCCGCTCCGCGGCATGCGGGATCCTCCCAGACCAGGGCTCGAACCCGTGTCCCCTGCATTGGCAGGCAGATTCTCAACCACTGCGCCACCAGGGAAGCCCAATGGACAAATATTTTAAGTTTTCTTGGGTACCGAGTAGGAGTGGAATTTCTGAGTCATAAGGGGTATTTTTAACTTTAGGACAGTTTTCCAAACAGTCTTTCAAAGTTCTTGTTTCAGTTTAACACTACCATCAGCAGCAGAGTATCAGCTCCAGTTCCACATTTTTCTCAACACTTGGTATTGCCAGTCGTTCCAATTTTAGCCATTCTGGTAGGTGTGAAATGGTATATTGTTGTGCTTTTAATTTGCACTTCCCTGCTGATTAATTATATTGAGAACTTTTTCATGTGCTTATTGTCTATTTGTATTCCTTGTTTGTAAAAAATACATGTTTCAGAATTTTATCTATTTTTGTTTTTCTTTTTATTATTGAGTTGTAGGCACTCTTTATATATTCTAAGTCTATTATCATATATACAAACATACATATAATACATATATATCTATTTGATAAAAATGTCATATATAGATATAAATAATATTTTTCTTAATTTTGGCTTGGATTTTTATTTTCTCAAATGTGACTTTTGATGTGCAATGTTTTTAATTTTGATGAAGCCCACTTTATAAAGTTAATTTTTTATGGCTTTTTTTTATCCTGCTTGAGAAATCTTTGCCTATCCTAAGGTTGCAAAAATATTCTGTGTTTTTTTGGGGGTTTTTTTTTGTAGAAGACTTACAGTTTTAGCTTTTTTACATTTAGGTCTATAATCCATATCAAATTTTTGTGGTTGTAGCAGTAGGAGTTGAGGTTAATTTTTTCTCATGTGGATGTCTTGTTTTAGCACCATTCGTTAAAAAGACTATCCTTTTCCTATTGAATTCATTGGCCTTTGTTGAAAATCAATTCATTGTATTTAAAAATGTTTTTCATTTTAAAATTTAAAATTTTTTTCAATTTTTATGAAATATATTGTATATAGCAGATATATATAAATAGATAGAGATATAGAATATGGGAATTATGGAGCATAATAATAATATGAACACCCTTAACCCACCAATTAAGAATAAGAATATTACTCAAAATTTTTGAAGCTTCTTATGGGTTATTCCCTAATCTTATGACTGTTTTTCATATAGTGGTGACCCTAGCCTCAGGTTTTTTTTTTTAATTCCTTTAATTTTTGAATATATTCTTACCTCATATGTAAGTATTCCTGAATTATTTATTATTTAGCTTTTGTGGTTTTTGAATTTTATGAATATTGGCGTAAGTTTTGTGTGACTTTTTTTCCTGCTCAACATTATATTTCTAGGATTCATCTATATTATTAAATGTTGCTATCGTTTGCTTGTTTTCCATCCTGTGTGTTCTTCCATCAAATGAACATACCACAGTTTATTTAGCCATTCACCTGTGTGTGGACATTTAAATTGTTTCCAGTTTAGAGACAATAGAAACAATACCACCCTGATCTTTCTTGGTTTCTGCTTGTGTATGTGTGTAGGAGTTTCTGCAGGAACAAAATAGTGTCAAACTGTCTTCCAAAGTCATCGTACCAATTTACACTCTGTTTCTCCATAATGTAACATTGTGAATTATCAGATTTCTTAATTTTTACTGTCACACAGATATAAATTCTCATGTGATTTTAATGAACAATTTCTTGAATATTAATGAGGTTGTTTATCTTATATATGTTGGCAATTCCTTTTCATTCTTTTATAAAATATGTTTTTCCATACCTCCTTTTTTATATAATTGGTGTAATATCTTCTCAAAATTTTTTCAAAACTTTCTAAATATATTAGAGTTAGTTTTGGTTTGGGTTTTTTTTCATAAATTATTTTGGTTGCATCCAGGGCAGGTTTTTTTTTTTTTTGGTGTATTTTATTTTTTGCCCTTTATGCTATAGTCTTTCCTCAACTATCTCATGATTCCTGGACAGTTCCTCATTTAAGAGTTAAGGAAGACTGTCTGGGAGCGTTTTGTATGTGGATAGGCTTGTTGACTGGAATACCCTGTTTTAGGATGGCTTGGTAGAAAGCCAGACCTTAACTGGGGTCTTACAAATTCCAGAGTTAAGAGGAGTTTGCTTTTGTCCACAGTGCTCATACCAACTATTTATTGTGATTCTCACACAGTTTATTTTATTCCTTTAGGGATGAACCATTTTGTTTTTTGTTTTTCTTTTGCTTAGAGGATAAATAACTGGCCAGGGGCTTCCCTGGTGGTGCAGTGGTTGAGAGTCCGCCTGCCAATGCAGGGGACACGGGTTCGTGCCCCGGTCTTGGAAGATCCCACATGCCGCGGAGCGGCTGGGCCCATGGGCCATGGCCACTGAGCCTGCGCGTCTGAAGCCTGTGCTCCGCATGGGAGAGGCCACAACAGTGAGAGGCCCGCGTACAGCAAAAAAACAACAACAAAAAACAAACAAACAAACAAAATAACTGGCCAGTACTGGGGGGCTGGTGGCAGAGTTGACTCTTCTGTTCTTCAGCCTTTCAAATTATCTTTCTCATTTCAAACCTTCTTCTGACTGCTACTGTTCACCATTGTTCCTGCCTTCTATGAATCTGAAGCCTGTGAACTGAAGAGTCTGAGCAAAACTTCTTGACTGTATCATAGGTTGTAGCTTCCTTCTTTCTGTTTCTTGTGACAGTACTCTTCTATATGCAAAATGCTTTACAGGAGTTTTTTTTTTTTTTTTTTTTTTTTTTTTAA